AGGGGAGGGGCAGAGAGAGGGGGAGACACAGAATCCAAAGCAGGCTCTAGGCTCTGAGCTGTCAGCACAGAGCCTGACGTGGGGCTCGGACTCCCAGACAGCGAGATCGTGACCTGAGCCAAAGTCAGATGCTGAACCAACTGAGCCACCCAGGCGCCCCTTTAATTTTGTTTTTAAAGTTTATTTATTTTGAGAGAGAGAGAGAGGGTGTGCAAGCAGGGGAGGGGTAGGGGGGGAGAAAATCCAAAGCACTGTTAGCTTGGAGCCCAATGCAGGGCTCGAACTCACAATCTGTGAGATCATGACCTGAGCCGAAAACGAAGAGTCAGATGTTTAACTGACTGAGCCACCCAGGTGCCCCTCTAAGTGACTTTAAGGTAAAGAATCTTTTTATAAAGCATTAAGTATCTCTTAAGCCATGTGACTTTGAAGATTCAATTTTCAGATTTTTCTTGAATCTGAACATGTCAGACCTCCATTGTATTAACAAAAAGGTAAATGTAGAGTACTATCAAAACTAACAAAGAAAACATTTTAAATTTCTTTCAAGTACAGAGATTATATGCAGTATAGTATGGGATCTTTTTACAATAGTGTAAGCACACATTTCTCTTTCAACTACTAGTATGCTTCAGTAGTCATTGGGAAAGTACCCACAATTCTACCTTCCTGTTGGGAGTCTTATTTAGTGGAAAAAAACATAAAAAAAAATTACACTGACATTTATAAACACATGCATATGTAACTGCAAAAATGTTTGTTTTGTGTATATAAAACAAAAGTTAATATTAATTATTAATTATACAATGACTATACAAGAGACAGTCTTAAATAAACATTAAATCTTTTCTTGCTGACCTGTAAAGCTTTACATAAAGCTGCATTTATGAATCGTCCTGGTGTAAATAGAGTCTGCAAATACATCTCCTGTTAGAACAGTAAAACAAAAATTAGTATCATCCTAAATAGGCAAAATTTGGAAAAATTTGAAGGAAGAATTAATCACATTAGCGCCAACACTTGAGTTTCCATTATAAAAACACGGCCCTTCTGTATTTGAGCAATACCAAGTACTAGAGCAGTTCTATATTTTCACATTAAGGAAGAGACTACAGTGTGTTTGAGCCAACTAGGCATACTATAAGGAAATCAGCGTGTTCCTCATGGAGTATTTTACTGGGTTCCACTGGAAAACATAGCATGTGAAATGCCAACCTTATATGGAAAGGCGAACACAGGTTTATTTGTGATACACACTGGTAAGAGAACAATTAAGCTAAACTGGTTTCTCCACCATCCATAAAGTAATCATCTTATGTCTCACATATAAAAGGAACCAATAGGCATTACATGTAAAAACAAACAAAACATGCAATAAACTGTCACTACTTGGAAGATGAAGTAGAGAGAAGAAAAACGGAAAGTCTTAAGTTGCCCAAATATTTTACCCAAATTTCACAATTCACATTTGCCAGGAAGTAGCAAATCTGACTAATCTTCACTCAAGTTTCCTTCCTTCTCCTGGGGTTCTGGGGGGTGACCCAGGGCCCATAATCTTCAACCTCATTTAACATAAAGGCATCAACTGATGCCTTTTTCTCTTCTTCTTAACCTGAGGATATCTCTGAAAAATAGGGAGACTGGCCTGTTTTGCTCTCTACGGAATTATCATCTTTTTAAAAAGAGATTTCATGCCCAGTGTGGAGCCCAATGCGGGGCTTGAACTCATGACCCTGAGATCAAGACCAAGGCTGAGATCAAGTGTTGGGACTCTCAACCCACTGAGCCACGCAGGCACCCCAATTGCATTTAAAGTTATTTTCCTCATAGCATATACTGTTACCAGAATTTATTTGATTTCTAGCTTCTATGCATGTACCAACATGGTTATAAACACTAGTGGACACCTAGTGTTTATGCCTACCCAGGATCCATTACCCTTCTTTTACTAACAAATCCCTACCTTCCTCTGGGGGAACCATTCCTCCTCTACCCATATTCCCCATACTCAACTGACTTCACCACCTCCACAAGAACAAGGTGCACGTTGGACATGTTTCTCATGCTAAGGCAGATTATTCTATTCTTTCTGATCAGAGTGACTGTGTCAGAAATCAGCACACTGCTCAAGCCAGGCCAATGAGAGTCTACTTCAGGACCAGGGACAGTGGTTCTCCCTCTCCTCTGGGGTCCATAGAATGCGTAGTTCACACAATGCATAGGCTCAGGGAGCCCGCCTGAGAATAAACTCAACAAGAAGGAAAACAAAATACAAAGGAGAAATCAAGCCCTGAAGGCATTGTGGCACTGTTCCAGCCTTGGGTGAAGCCAGGTAACTCTCCGCTTCTCAGCTGCACAAATATTTTCCTTTTAAGCTTAAGTCAGTTTGAGGTGGGTTTCTTTCACGTGCAGCTGAAAGAATTCGGACTAATACACCTGGTTCTTCTCAAACTAATGATCAGGGTAAATCATCCTCTTACATAAGACTTTAATGTTGCTTACTCTGGGGTCTTGATCATCTCTGATAATGATCTCTTCCTCTGGCAGAGAGTGCATAAAAACTGAATTCCATTGACCTGCAACATTACTATAGGGAAACAAAAAAGGCCATCAGTCTACATAAAAATGATGACTAAAAGCTGATGCTGTTGATCTACTGAAGATTTCAAAATAAATAAGTAAAATTTATTGTCAACAGTCTGGCTTTATAGAAGTGCTCTTACCAGTTTTTTTTTTTTTTTTAAATGTTATTTCAATGTTTATTTTTGAGAGATAGAGAGACAGAGAGAGCACGAGCGGGGGAGGAGCAGAGAGAGAGGGAGACACAGAATCTGAAACAGGCTCCAGGCTCTGAGCCGTCAGCACAGAGCCCGACATGGGGCTCGAACTCACAAACCGTGAGATCATGACCTGAGCCGAAGCTGGACGCTCAACCGACTGAGCCACCCAGAAGCCCCTTAATTTTTTTTTTTTAATGTTTATTTTTGAGAGAATGTTATTTTAAAGTAATCTTTACACCTAACATGGGACTTGAACCTACAACCCCAAGATCAAGAGTCCCACGCTCCACTATGCCGGCCAAGTGTGCCCTTGCTCTTACCAGTTTTAACAGGCATCTTCCTGAAATGAACACTCTAACCACAAATCTACAAACAATAGCTAACTTTTATTTTGCATTTACTATTATTAGATATTATGCTAGGCACAGTTAAGGATATTATTCTTATAAGCCTTATGGTAATTTTGAAGGACGTATCACCCACATTTTGTAGATGGGAAAAGTAAGGCTTTGTCACAGCTAAATTTCACAAGTGGACTCATACTCTTATCTGATATGATTCTTTGCTTATCACCACTTTGTTTGAATGCCATCTATAAGGAGTACGCTCATATTATCTGAGATGTGGCTCAACCATCTGGGGCAACTATCCCTATAGTTCTAGTCTAGAGTATAGGACTGATTATGAGGGATCCCTAAAGTTCAATTAGTTTAGTTCCAAAGACATTAAGCTATATTCCAGGGAATCCTGCACAGGGTGTTTCAGGAGTATATAAGTGTCTAATTAAGAAATTTTTTTCAAATGTGTTTTGTAGCTATTAAAACATTTAAAACTATTATGTACATTAAAATATTAGAGACCAAATATATCTAATATTAGAGATAACCAACAATAACATTAAATTGTGTTATAATTTTATTCTCACAAAATACTAGTTTTATATATTGGAGTTCATTATCTTTTGAAAAAAAGGGTTTCCTGTTTAAAACAAAAAAGTTTGAAGAGCACTATACTTGTGCAATCAATTTCTCTTATGATGAGAAAATTGAGAACCCTAAGAGGCTGCAGTATCTTTTGGAAGTTGTGGGTATTGGAAATAGTCTGCTCAGAAGCAGAGTAAACTCCCAAATTAGAAGTATTTTAGATAGGTGCTATTGCTCCCAAGAAATATGGTATTTCATCTCATTCCAACCCTAAGAATCCTTCATTTTGTTCTAAAACCAAAAAGTAGGAAACATCACAAAATGTAAAAGGAGGAATTTTGGAAAATAGTTAACAGTAGGCAAACCCAGGACTGAATCCTTTAAATGCAAACACTTGACTTCGGTTCTACATAACAAGCTCTCTTGCTTTCTTAGAATGGAACCCCTAGGGGTGAGGCAAGACGACAGAGGAAGTGATCCATACTGCTCAAAGGTGATGTATCTCACAACAGTTTGGTTCTCAGCATCATGCCACAGGGCCCAGATATCCGTAGAGGTTAAGGCAAAGTCAATCAGTGTCTCCTAGGAGGAAATGTGGGGGAAAGGGGTTAAAATATGAAAGAGGAATAGCTTACAGCAACTTAAATTTGTATTAATAGGAGGTCAAAAGCATAAAAACAGAAGATAGTACCACACGAACTTGGTAAAACTCAAATGAAATTTGGTCTGCATCTATCAGTAAATATTTCATTTTAAGATTTCCGTCCCTTTACAACATAGTTAAGTCAGCCAATTCTTTCTTATACTTGAGTGATATGCAAAGGATGATCCAACCTACCTGAGAAGTGAAAACGGACGAAATGTGATCTAGACTATAGCGGTTATTCTCAGTGCTCACCAGTTGGAAAATGCAGAACTGTTAAAACACAAGTTAATAATTCATAACTTGAAAAAATCAACGTGCTACTTTTCTAACAGTTATGAGCATTCAGAAACCAATTATTTTTTTAATTAAAAAAATTTTTTTACATTTGTTTATTTTTGAAAAACAGAGAGAGAGAACAGAAGTGGGGGAGTGGCAGAAAAAGAGGGAGACACAGAATCCGAAGCAGGCTCCAGGCTCTGAGCCATCAGCAAAGAGCCTGATGCAGGGCTTGAACTTGCGAACCGTGAGATCATGACCTGAGCTGAAGTCGG